TACCAACAATATGATCCTAGATTCGTTGTACAATGGTAGTCATTATACCGTACCTCAAGCAGATTTGAGAAGGATGTTGTAGTTATTTAAAGGATGAGCTCTTCAGTATGAGACTTGCAAGTTCAACTTGTATCAAGGCGACCCTAAAACCCTCTATGATACTCTAAGCCCAACAGGACCCACTCGCTGCCGAAACCCTCGTCCCTAAGGTTGCCAAAGTGATTAAGGTCTAGGGTTTATGGCCCAGGGTGTTTAGGGTCTCAGAATATTTCTTAAACTTACGGGGGGTCAGTAAGGAACAAGGATATATGAGAGAGGGATTATATAGAGAGAATACCCCTTCTTCCCTACTAACCACCAGGACGTAAAGGATCCGAAAAGGGGGACCCCTCTCATCTCCAATCCCCATATCCCCGAACATCCCTGATGCCCCTCAACCCTACACTCTAGACTCAAAGGGACTCTAGACTCTAAGGGGTTCCCTTTAGTTTAAATCCCTAACCTTACGCGTCCAAGCACTTAATAAGCATATACTTGGCCAAAAGCTGCATTACAGATACTAATACCCAAACCCCGAATACCTAATTATTGGGTGCTTGGAGCCTTAAAACCCTAAACCCCTAAACTCTAAACCCCAAACCCTAACCCCTAAACCCCTAAACCCTAAATCCTACGTCATCCCAGGAATCCTAGCGCAAAGATCGTGCGCTCGACTTATGGGAACGTAGATCTCAAGCTTCTTTTCAACACCGGCAGCTTTGATATGGCCGTGGCTGAAGAGATGCCGGGTTGGTGCCAGGGTCTTGTTTGAGATCAATCCCAGAGGGTCCATGTACCCAATAATTTGGTACTTGGGATTTGGGTAATAGGAATTATAGTAATGGTTCTGGATAAGTACATGGTTATTAGGTACTTGGACCCATGGCGAATTATATGCTTAGGGTTTAGGGTTTAGATTTAGGACCCCCTAAGCCCCAAACCTCTCAGATTGTGCTACTTGGGGTTTAGGGTTCAGGGGACTTGGGATTCAGGACTTCCAGGCATCAAAAGGGTCAAGGAGGGGGTCTGTCTTGCTGCGTTTTTTAAATCTTTTTCTCGGGTGTGTGGGCTTCCCATACACAACCTTGGGTACTGCCCCCACTCCGTACCAGTTTGATCATTTTCATTACATAGTTTCACAGGTGTTTAATAGCCCTTGTTTTGAATCCTAACATAGACTGTTACAAAGCGGGGGCAATACCCAAAGCATTCCTTAGGAGGAACCCCCACCCTGTAATAGTGGTATAACAAGAGTATAAGAGGACCCTAATATAATCCCTGTTATCCCTTATAGTCACTATTACAGGGTGGGGGGCAAGACCCAAAGCATTCCTGTTTCTGCCTAGGCAGTATGGGCTAAGGTACCAGGAGTTGGAAGGAGGTCATGTGCCTGAGTCTGAGGAGCCACGGCTTTTCCTTGCGAAAAGATTTGGGGTGTAGGGTTCAGGGTTTAGGGTTTATATAAGGGTTTAGGGTTTGGGGGTTTAGGGGTTTAGGGTTCAGGGTTTAGGGGTTTAGGGTTAAGGGTTTAAGGGTTCAGGGTTGGGAATGTTCGTAAGTATCAGAGCATTCAAAGCGTCAACCCGATGATCGGCTTGCTGCTAAGAACCCTAAACCCCTTAACCGCTAACCCTAAACCCCAAATACTTCTTTCATTGCTACAGATTGACTTATGAAAAGATTGTGTCCCGTAGATTGTCCTGCAAGTTCTGCAGGTTCCAAGTTTTGCCTATGTTTGGGGAACCGCTTTAGGGGCACAACCTGACGGTGCTACAGCCCCAAACCTCAGGGCTTGGGGTTTAGGGTTTAGGGCTGAATGGATCCTAAACCCACCGAGGAGTACGGCATCTCGAGCGTGGTGTTTCGGAAGCAGCGGCCGTTTGATCCACAGAGGCCCAGCACGTAGCTATTATTTTACAGTATAGTACATTATTATTAGGCTTTAGGCTTTAGAGAAGATGCTAAAATAGATAATGCTATTGCATATTGTCGTGTTTTATCGTTGCTTTTTCTGCTACCTGGGAACTCGCTTTCTCAGTTTTACATCGCTGAGAGAGAAGTTTACAATGCCCAATGCCACAGGAAACCACCACCCTCACCACACTCGAACAATAAACCTTCCCACCTTAGCATATACCACGGTATCAGATGGCCGGGGGGGGGGGGCTGATGAAGGGGGGGTAGGGTAATAAATAGGCGGCGGGATTACGCTAGAAGCCTCGTCCTGGTTACGCCCTAAACCCTAAACCCTCCTAAACCCCTAAATCCCTGAACCCTAAGCCCCGCTAAACCCCCACAACCCCCCTTTGGCTGCAAGGTGGTCCACGATTAAGATATCCAGTGCCTGCATTCTCAATCATTAGTTCCGCAAGGGCTCAAGATAAATAGTAGATATTTAGGGCGGAAATAACTTGTAATTACATAAATACAGCACAGAGAGAGAGAGAGAGAGAGACAGACAGAGAGAGAGAGAGAGAGGGCGATAAAGCTTGCAGGAGAGTATGGGAGGAATTTACTTAGGCCCCTGCCGACAGGAAAAAGGAGAAACCGAGAAAGATCCTAACTTCCATCATGGCTATGGAAGCTCGTGCGCTTGCCTTACGGGAGAGGGGGACTCAAAGCAATTCAGTGCAAGTGATGGACGAGGTTTGTTTAGGGAATCGGAATTCAATGCAAGCGTACAGCCGGATGGAGATCGGTGCAAGCATACAACCAGATGGGAACCAGATGAGAAGCAGACGGAAAAGGGCTTGCTCCAATGGGAGCAATACTGTGAAAGGAAGATTGACAAATTCGGTGCAAGTACCTCACAAACGTACTGGAAGAAGCAAGTGCAAGGACAATTGCTCAACAGAGGATGTGACCTGAAATTCCTGAGGCAATCCTTGGGCTGGAGATTCTGCCATTAGCACACCGACCTGTGTGCAATGAAGGAGGAAACAGACCAGCTGGACTGGAGATTCTGCCATTAGTGCACCGACCTGTGCGCGATGGAGGAGGAAGCAGGCCAGAGGGAAGACCGTTGGGGAGTGGATGCAACCTACCCGCCGACCTGCGGAAGGACTTGCAAAAGCACCTCAAAGGAAAGAAAGGACATGGAATCATGAGTAGCTGCGACTGTACATACTGACAAAGCGCCGAACTCCTCAACGCAGCCAGTGGGCACAAAACCAATATAGACCGATCCTCGAAATCGACCGTATACTGTACCCGATGGTGTCAATAAGTTGTTGCTAGGTGGAGCCTGGGTTGACAACCCCGAAATTCAACATTTTGTTCGCTTATGCACCAGGGGCGAAGACAGGCCAAGTCTGAAGGTGCAACCCTGAAGAATCGGTCCATGATAGAGCAAGGGGCTCCTGGTTGGATGTTACCTATCCCCCTATAGCCTTTGCATATCTGTTGATTGTAATGCAAGCTACCGGCACCTAAGGGGAGGTCGCAAACCTAGAGGAAGCCACCGGGCAAACAAGAACAATGCAAGAGCCTCGTAACAAGAACTATCTGCAGTCTCCTTCGGGGCAGGAGTGCAAGGTGTTGCTTTGCACAGTCCTCACAACGTGACCAACCCTAAAAAGAAAGTGCCGTAAAACAGACCGATTCCTTGTGTGTGCAGCAGTGGGGGAAGGGAAATTGTCCGTAGGATTTCTGTCAGCTTCCAAACTTCCATCTGATTTTGGGCAGAGTCTTGTGCATCTTACGCTGCATGCCCTTTGCCTGACTGGAGTGAAGTGGGCACCCTGGTACAGGCTCGGAAGACTGCGTGGAGAGTAGTTCGGGGTATGCGAGCTGTTGAGGGGGTGCAAGAAGTGTCTGACAACAGCTGGCGAGCCTGTGTCAAGTTCCATTTTTGCCAGTAGCACAGTGGCGGGGCTTGATAATACGCTACCCTCCCAGTCACACGAGTTGGGGATGTGTCACAGCGATGGTAATAGCGGTGAAGCCCATATACAGGACACAAGGGATTATTTTGCCGAATGCTATTTCGAGCGGGGCTGTAGCGAACCCTCTCCTTTCTTCGTGTCCTGGAGTATGAGCAGTAACCGAGTGTTGCTATCGTGATCGTGCCTGCTCAGACATCCTGCTTGGGGCATTGCCCCGGCCCCTTCCCCTGGGAGGGGGTAGAGCAGTGAGAAGAAGAAGAAGAAGGGGATTTATCGCCCCAAGTGCTTACGTACGCAGAATTCGGGCCAGAAATAGCCTACATGGGGACCAATGTGGGTCAGATTATATGCAACTTAGGTACTTGAACCAGTAGGGTTTACTTGGTTCAGGGTAGCTATGGCCCAATTATTTGAAATTTCGAATATAGCTGTATTTATCACCAAGTATACGCTCCGAGATCCCCTTATAAATTTTTAGTTGGGTTAAAAGGTACCAGATATAATTGGGTTATGAATACTCTGAACCTATCTGAACCCCTCATGCCCCTATATACTTCTTTATACCACTTGATAACCAAATGGGTTTTACTTGCCCTTGAGCTCCAAACCCTAAGCCCCTAAACCCTAAACCCCTCAACCCTCTGAGTCCAGAGGCTGGATGAGTTTCTGAGCTCCGGTCTTGACGGCATCATTCGCTCCAAAGGCCAAGGTTTCTGCAACTACCCTATTTTAGGGTTTAGGGTTTAGGGTGATGTAGGGATGATGTAGGGTTTAGGAGATATGTAGGGACTGTAATGCAGGGGCGCGCATGATTCGAACAGATTGCACTGTAGGTTTTATACGGTTGGTAAGGCAATGAGTCGAGTATTGCTAACTTACCTCGGTGGTTGTTCGTGCTTCCACAGTAGGTCCTCCAAGACCCCTAAGGAGATAGTGGGCAGTGCATTTTAGCTCGCCTCACATTTGATCTTTGTGTGGATGCAGCCTCCAAAGCCTAAAGCCCATAACCTGAACCCACGGGACAAATAATCCCTGACACCTAAACCCAACAACCTACATCCTAAACCCTAACCTAAAGGCCTTCTTTGGGTGGCTGGCCAATCGTGTAGCTTGGTATGGCATCAAGCCGGTGCCTGAGCTGCAGTTGGAAGATTGTTGATGCGGGTTCAGGTTTTGGGGGGGTGAGTTAGAGTTTAGTGTTTTTTTACTTGTAGGTTTTGGGGTTCTGGGGGCTGGTGTGTGTGTGCGTGCGCGTGTGTGTGTGTGTGTGTGTGGTGGTGGTGGTGGTTGGGTTTAATGTTTTTTTGGGGGGCAAGGGTTGGGGATTTGGGTTATAGGCTTTGGCCTCTAAGACAAAGGTTCAGGGCCCTAAACCCTGAACCGGCCAAACCATAGCAAACTCAACCAACCTCAATTTAAAGGGTGGTTTATGCAGCATCTGGCGCCAAAAGAATTGTATCTCAGGCTCTGAAATGACCGAAACTTTGCCAGTTTCTTAGCGTGCCAATTGAAGGTTCATGGCTAGTTAAAAGTGGGGGATTTCGGCCCTTAAGCGGATTATGGCTTCAGAGTTATGCTACAGAAGACTAGCTGCGTTTATGGCTACCCATGAACCTCCCGGTAAGACGTCGCAAGCTGATATCGCTGCGTGCATGGTGTAGCGCTTGCCAAGGGCTTGCCAAGTCCACTAAAGCCTACCTAACCCTTAGCCTTCAGAAGCTCTCAGCTGTACTCTATGCAGATGAATCTACACATATATATATATATACATATGTGTGTGTGTGTATGTACACAGCCTGGTCACCTACAATGTGCACATTGTATACACTGGAGGA